TTGTATTTATTTCCATTATTTCCTTTTGTTCCGGAACAGTGATGTATTCATTATGTATAATTACTCCTAGAAAGGCTTATGACTTGTACTACCGGTTTTGAGATTGTAAATGGTACAGAGTTTTTTATTTGAAATTTGTTCGATGTTAGTAAATATTATCGTTATTTTTGTTAATGTTAGGCTTAACTAGTTTTAGAGACTAGGTACCATCACGACTCCTTCGGGAGGGATTTTGGGTCGTGACATTTCAAAGAAGTTTGCCCTATAGCTCATAGAAAAACTTGATAGCTAATGATGCAAAGATCTAAAAAGGATTAATGTTGAGTTAATATTTTACTAAACTAATTTAATATATAAAAAATATAGAGATCTGTCATGTGTTGAAATGAATTGAAATGAAACAAATGATTAATTAAAAAATTAATTTATTTTAGAATGCCTTTTCTCTACCACTATTTTATCATTATTGATTCAGGTTTGTATTTTTACCAATTTGACTTTTATATATAGAATAACTATTTTATTTTATATTGTTCATTACAATATAAAATGATCAAAATGATCAACGGCCACCAGACCCCCTTACCTTAATTAATCCCAAACGACCCCCTAAACCCTACCATTTTCAACCATACACTGCCTCTAATTCCCCCTCCTCTCTTAAATCCTCTCTACAACACCCTCAAACCCTAGCCGCCGCCACCCTAATCCGCCCTAATCCATGGCTCTCCAGGATCATCTAAGACCTGTATCAGCCTCTCATGGCCTCTACTTGTTCGTTTTTGTGGTCTCATGACCAGATTCTAAAGGGGCTTGGTCTAGTCTTTGCTCGATGACTATTTTCCGGTCGTCTCTGACCTTTCTCCGGCCAGCCATGGCTATTCGAGTCAGACTTTTGACTTTTCTGCTTAGATCGATGGTTTTCAAGGCCTTTCTCATCACTTGGGGTTCTTCTGAAACCCAAATCTCTAAGGTTCTTTCGATTTCTTTCAGATCTGCTTCAGATCTATGCTTGCTTTGAACTTTTAAGTGTTTTTCTCGAAGTTTCTTTAAAACTTTGCTTTCAAAACTCTTTATCATTTCCGATTGGGGTTTTCTTGTTGAGTTATTTAAAAATGTTTCTCTGATTTTTTTTTGACATGTTTTGCTATGTTTGCTCACATCGTTCTTCTACCTAAGTTTGCATGTTAAAACCCCTAATATTTTTTGACTGTTTATTAGACGAATGCGTGTTTGCTTGAGTTTTGTCTGATTTGTTTGTTTATCCTCTTTTGAAACTCTTCTATTGTTGAAAATCCTATGGCTTTGGGTCTAAGACTGTTCGTTTAAGTACATGGCTCGATTTGAAGTTCTTTATTTCGAAACCTCTTATCCCTTTGTATGATTTTTCTGATTATGGGTTTCTATCTTCTCTAAAACTTGATTATGCTCGAAACCCTAATTTTTTAAAAGGGGTTTTCCTCACCTGCTATTGTGATATCTTCGCATGCTTTTGATATTCTATGTTTGCTTCACTACTGACTCAATAAGACTTGACCTACTGGACTATCATGCTTCGAATGTTGCCATCTACTGAATTTTGTGCTACTATTGCATGCTATTTTGTTTTGCCAATAGGCTTGGCCTCGCATGTATAGTGTTTGTGCACTCTATTTATATGCTGAGTTTCCTTCTTTGATTGATCTTCAAACTTGTGACTGATTTCAAACTTTTCCTTTGTGAAATTCTGATTTCACTCACCTATTAAGGTTAATTGATTTCTTTTCCTGTTTTGCCTTACTGAATCCTTTCCGAAATTAGAATATTTCTATACCTAGACTCGATTGCTTACTTAATGTTTTACTACTTCTTTTACGGCAACTGTCAGCCTGCTTACAAATTGATTTCTTTCCTTATTTTAAACCTGTCACCGCTCGTTAAGCAAGTGATCCCTTAATTAAAGGCAATCACTTGTATAATTGATTCTGAATTGTGATTGTTTCCATGTTTGCAGCTTATTATTTCTCTCTTACTCGTTTTCAGAAAGCTATAAATACCTTGCACTTCTTTTCTTTCAAACACACAAACACAAGGCATAAAACACTTGAGTTCAGACACACACCCCACTAAATCTCTCTCTTTTCTCTGTTACTACTTGTATTGCTGCCTTACCTAGACGGCTGAAAGCCAAGGCTAGGCTGTGGGAAACTTGCTTATTTTTCTCTGCATTCGCATTTCTTACTGGTATGTTCTAATTAAGCTTCTGCACCAACAACAACATGCTTATTTACTGTTTCTTGCATTCTTGTTTGTCTACTATTTGTATTTAACTCAGTACCATTATTAAGCATGCTGTAATTTCAATTTTTCCTATTCAGAATTAATGTATCATGACTTGTGAATCTTAAACCTCTACCCCAATGTGTTTAATAATTGTGGTTGGTTTGGCGCATGACAGCATTGGACATTGTTGTGCAAGACCCAAACCTGATTCCCCTGGGATCATAACCTCCATGTTTCTCTTATATATTGTATGTTCTGATTAGTTTACAGGCATGTCAGCACTTCACATTGTTGTGCATGCCCAAAGCTAACCTGTGCCTAAGTATATAGGCTCCTTGCAATGGATTTCCAACCCCTGACCCCCTTGTATGAAGTTATTAACTCTGTGAGATGCTAGTGGTTATCTCCCAATCACCATTTCCCCTCTCCTTTAAAATCAGCAATATTAGATACCATCGCCTACAGAATCTGAAACTAGTTCAATTTAAAATTAGTTCGATTCTGAACCAGTTTTAAACAACTTTCCTTCTCTAGTTAACGAGGTTTAGCAAGCATGCCTATAGGATCTCAAATAATTCGCTTTAAGTTGTTACTATTTCACCACATTCTGAATCAATTAGATATCATATCTATAGGACCTCACCTAAAACACTTAGGCAAGCCTTAGAGAATTGAATCTGCTTTTGTTAATTGCTACAACCAGCAGGCAGGCCTGATTCGAACTTCTTATTTGAGTTATGTAATAAACATGTCTGCCTCAATAATCAGACTCCCCTCGTCTTTAGTATTTTAATCAGACCTAAAAAAGTATGTGCAAGTCATGCTATTTATGTGTTTTGTTTGAGGAGGTGTACATGGGCCTTTACCTATTTATATGCTTCCCCAACATGCAGTATATGTGTTTTGTATGTCGCCTTAGATTTTCACCCTTTGAAACCAAAAATTAGCCTGATATCCCTCCCCTTTAGGAATAGTAGTCCTAAGCTCCTCCGGGACTGATAGGAATGGGACGGGTAAATAGCATGCAATAGTAATCGAAACCAATCTGTGAGTTAATACCTTAACGGGGTGGGAAGGGTAGATATGGATATGATGAATGGTGCGCTAATATCACGTGTATCCCCTCTTTTGAGGAGTGTCATACCAGGTATCGCATTGATGTGATCCATATTAAATATAAACATAGGACCCCTTCCCTTTTATTTGCAAACTTCTTTTCAAAACTCTTCTTTTATTTATCCCTTCTCTTATGTGTTTAATCTAAATCCCCTCTTATGTGAGTCTTATCTGTTACTTGTTAATTGCAGAAATTCACAATAAATTGTCTGGACAGGAACCACACTAGTGGATCCTAAGGGGTGCCTAACACCTTCCCCTTGGGATAATTTCAAGCTCTTACCCTATCTCTGGTTATTCCAAAGAAACTTAGAATTGAACCCTATTGGTGTCCTAATGCACCTTAAATCATTAGGTGGCGACTCTTAATAAATGCAAAACCCAGTTCCCAAAAGGAACGAGTTGTCATATACCAAATGTCATAAACCCGATTTCGCGAAAAAAAGGGGACGCGACAATCATCGCATAAAGTGGGCTCCGTGATGGGCTGGGACGAAGCCTTAATAAGAAAATTAAAAATTAATTTATGACAAATCATTAAGAAAAAAAACAAATTAAAATTTAACAGTAATACAAACATACCTGCACTTGTGATACATCCGCATCAACCACCAGGGATGAGCCAAAACTCAACCTACACCCACCATCCCCGTCTCGGGTCGGCCGATCCTCAGCTACGGTAGATGGGCCTGAAAAGAACTGATCTACATCTCCGTCGAATGTACCCGTGATCAACAATGGACCTGACGGGGTGACCTGCGATTCTGGCAGCTCCAGCTGAAGGCTGTACGACGGCATGTTGCTGGAAGGCTCGTCTATTTAAGGGATGTAACCCGGCTGATCATCTCCAAGATCGTCATCAGGTGGATCAATAGGTGCCTCAACGCCCCCTTGCTGGGGACCACCTCATCGTCATCCCCCATGACCCTGTGGGGCACCCCCGCCTCGTGAGACAGCCCTGGCTCGTGCCCGACCCCTACCTTGTGCGACAAGCCTACCCCGATGGTATTGCTCTGGCACCACATACTTAGTAGTGTGGTTTAACCTCTCATTCTCTCTGGCTCGCTGTAGTGTCCGGAGAGCCAGCTCTACCACCTACTGGTCATACTCAGCGACTGCAGGATTGTCGGTATGTTGTTGTATCTCTAGTCCCGACCGGTAGAATAAACGATGACCAATAGCCTGCACAACATTTAAAATATTAATTATATAACGCTATATCATAGTTATAAGTATGGGTTCCAACAGAAACATACCAGTGCCTCGTGCCTCCCGGGGTATGGTGTGAACCGACCGCCAGCTTGATGAACGGGGTTCCCGATCATCAGTCGGGTGTGACGGCGGTACCATGATGTATACATCGCAATAGTCGTTGCCTGGATCTGTGAAGGTGGTGGTGGAATCAGGTCCTGTTGCTGCTCCCAAGTATGGACTTGCGCCTCTAGCCATACTACAAATGCGTCGTCCACCCTCGAACGATTATCCTACTAATAATGTGTAGCCTTTCATGTAGGCTCCCTCGGTATAGTCTGCGTATGGTCAAACTGATAAAGTACCCGCTCTGTGGCATGATGCTCCACAACATCGAGGCACATCAGCGGGACGGAAGTGCTCTAAATCAGTCAGTCGATCGAGCAATAATCGGGCAGGCCAGCTATCAACTCGTCACTGTATGGCGTCCAGATGAACTATCAAATAATAACATAAAAGTGAGTATGCACAACACAAGTGAATTTATAACAAGTAAGTTTAGGTACATATTTACATGTGTGGCCTCCAGCATATCCAACACATCCCTGACAAGGGGGAGATCATGATGAGCATCAATGGCTCGGTAGTTTCCACGCTGGAGAACCCACCTCCTAGCTAGAGGGAGTAACGGAGGTGATACATCCGGAGGTAATGCTGGTAGAGGTGGGTGCAACGGCAGGAACCACTCCCAGGCCCAAACCTAACATATAAGGTCGACAGAAAATTTAAGAGTCATTTTGACTATATAGAATTGGAAGTAATGAATAGAGTATTCGAATATGTTGTCACTTGTAGAAGCGGCAGAAAATCACATACGTCGCTCTAGGTGCCTATGCTAGCCCGGCACATACTCTTGTATAGGTAATCGAGAACAGCAGCACCCCAGCTGTACTGGGGTAACTTATCTAGCTGCTGAAGATGATGTAGAAATCGCATACTCACTAGATTTCCCGAAGTGTTAGGGAACAAGACACCCCAAAAAAGAAGGAGAAGTGCCAACCTCGTGTACCGGTGAATATGTAGATCCTTTGTCTCACCGGTGATGTCGGGATGTAATACCGCCAAATGCTGCCTGATAACTGTCACAGAAATGCGACTGCCCCCTGAAGCTGCAGCCTCACCATATGGCCTGAAACCAGTGAACTGCTGCAGTAAGTCCAAATATTGGGCACGCGTCATAGATCTCATATACTGAGGCAGTTCAATGGCCAGTCCATCAGCAGGAAGCCCATATAAAACCTGAACATCCTGAAGCGTGATGGTGGCCTCGCCAATGAGCAGGTGGAAAGTGTGTGTCTCCGGTCGCCAGCGCTCTATCAACGCTGTGATCAGAGACCAGTCAAGCTGTAGCCGCCCAATCTTAAAAATCCTATAGAAGCCCATATCACGCAGGTGCTGGACTAGCAGGAATGGAAACCTCTCTCCCTGATAAAGTCCCACACGCTGTCCACTCTCCTGGCGCGGAGAGTCTGCCCACTAGCTCTCCCTCCCATACGTTGGCGGACCTATGATCGACCTGTAACACTAATATCTCATCCGAGATAGGTCCAGGATGCACAGGCGGCACGTCCATCTCATCTACTATAAATTAAACAATATTAAGTGTGTGTTAGTTTTAGTAATTAATATTTAATTATTTAATTGGACAGAGTATATAACTATGGGTTCAATGCTCGATATTTGAGGTCCAGTAGCACCAAGCTATCCTGAATTCTTATGTGTGTCAATTTCAATATTTTTAGAATTTTGTTTATGTTATAATAATTAATATTTAATTAGTTAATTGGACATAGTATATATTTATGGGTTCCAAGCTCGATATTTGAGGCCCAGTAGCACCAAGCTATCCTAAATTCTTATGTGTGTCAATTTCAATATTGTTAGAATTTTGTTTGTGTTATAATAATTAATATTTAATTATTTAATTGGACAGAGTATATATCTATGGGTTCCAGGCTTGATATTTGAGGTCCAGTAGCACCAAGCTATCCTGAATTCTTATTGTGTCAATTTCAATATTTTTAGAATTTTGTGTGTATTATAATAATTAATATGTAATTATTTAATAGGACAGAGTATATATCAACGGGTTCCATGCTCGATATTTGAGGCCTAGTAGCACCAAGCTATCGTGAATTCTTATGTGTGCCAATTTTAATATTTTTAGAATTTTGTTTGTGTTATAATAATTAATATTTAATTATTTAATTGGACAGAGTATATAACTATGGGTTCGAGACTCGATATTTGAGGCTCAGTAGCACCAAGCTATCTTGAATTCATATGTGTGTCAATTTCAATATTTTTACAATTTTGTTTGCGTTATAATAATTAATATTTAATTATTTAATTGGACAGAGTATATATCTATGGGTTCCAGGCTCGATATTTGACCAGTAGCACCAAGCTATCCTGAATTCTTATGTGTGTCGATTTCAATATTTTTACAATTTTGTTAGTTTTATAAATTAAATAATTAATTTTTAATTGGGCAGAGTATATATCTATGAGTTCCACGCTCGATATTTAATTTGACAACATATATTAATTTGTTAGTTCTGTGTGTTTGTTTTATAAATTAAATAATTAATGTTTGTAAAGTGTAATTGGATAGAGTTTGTAGTTAGTAGATACTTAAACTACAGAGATTCTACGTTAAAAGGCTCTATATTTTACTACACTAAAAGGTTCTATATTTTACTACGTTAAAACGCTCTATTTTACTATGCTATAAGGCTCTATATTTTACTACGCTAAAAGAGCACTATTCTTTAAGCAAATAAATAATATAAACTAAATAAAAACAACAAACATATTTTAATAACATAACATTCACGAAATTACATATAAAACAGTAAAAGAAATTTATGAACATTTTTATTAACAAGAAAAATTATTTCTCAACTTTTAACTATTTTTTTAAACACTAATAATTTAATCCGGATAAAAATAACATACAAATTTAATCGCAAACAAAACACAAAACAACGTGGAAACACATTCAAGACAACAAATATGCATTATTGTACGAGTTTCGACATAAACTAAATCGGAATACCTCGATTTATGTTTTTAGAAAATTTGAAATTTTGAGCCCGAAACGAGGAAACCACAACAATCGAAGACTTGGGTTGAATGCGGGACCTACAATCTTCACTTTTTGTGTGATGGGTGAAGTCCAATCGATTTTTTTTTAAATCGGGGGTGGGGGGACGGCTGGAAAGATGTTTGTTTTTTTAATTGAAACCTTCTGGTTTCTGTCGTGGGGAAGAAGGAGACTTATATTTTAAAGGGAAAAACACAGTATAATACTGTGCTTTCCTAAAATGCAGTATAATACTGCTAGCCTTTAAAGTAAAACACAATATAATACTGCATTTTAGTTAGAAAGGTAACTCTTTTTTTTAACTGTATAAAGTATTTTGAGTCCCAAAACTCATTATTTAGGTTTCGGACTCCTTCCCTACATGTTACTTGGCTTATGGCATGCCCTAATGTCTCCTCCTCAGCAACAAGCACTTGCTCTTTTTTCTGCGGAAGTTTTTTTCCCTTCAGGCTGTTGCAAAAGAGTGCAAATATTGCTTGTATATTAGTATTCTCAATGTTCTAATTTATGTGAACTTGTTTGACTGAACACGGAATTTAAGAAAAAATAAACAGTTTTTGAATTTGTGGTCCTAAACAAGTCAAAGAGGAATCCAGAGTATTTGTGTGGTTATAAAAGTTTCTCATTAAAAATAGAATTGAAAGTCTAAGCTAAATTGTTTCTAAATTTAGAAACTGATCATTCTTTTTGGAATAGATCAAAAAGAAAATAGGTTCACGTAAGTATTAGTCTGTTCCAAAATGAATGACACATTTCTAAATTTGGAAGTAGTTTAACTTTAAACTCTTTAGTTTAATTATTTTACCCTTAATAATAATAAGCTTTTATAACCACACAAATATCATTGCTCCTTAAACTTTTAAGACCACGACTTTCAAAAATAAATTATTTTTTTCTTAAATTTTGTGGCGAGTCTGTGTCCTCTGAATTGAAATGGAGAGATTAGTTAACTGTTAACCCCCAATGGCACTACGAGCCACTCGAGAATTCAGGACAATATTTAGCTGAAGTGGAAAATTCCAAACGCCTATAGAATAGAATTTTGGCTCCACTATCCAAACCGAGTGCAACAGACAGAGTCGCAGTCCTTCTTTACTCCTCCGTTCTCCTTAAATTTGAATTTTGAGGAAATGGTAGAACCAGAAACTACAGATTTCATTCTCCTGTTTACCTTCGGTAATTTTCTCTGTCTAAATTGAGCTTTTCTTGCTGAAGTATAGTTCCATTTTTTTTGCATATTTCCATGAATCTAACTCAGAAATCAATCAAATACACATGTTCGAGTAGAAATTTATTAATTGATTTCAAGAATTTGCAGTCAAGATTGAATTTTACATCATTGTCATCATCAAATTTTCTCCAAACTTTAACAGTAAATAATGGGTCCAGACCCATTTCAAACTCCCTTCACAACTTTCTACCTGAAACCCAAAACCCTCAAAACATTGTTAGTCTGATATGCTCGGCACTAAAGAACAAAAACAATGGCCATTTGGTCCTTCTTCAGAAAACCATCGAAAATCATGGGCTTATTGGTTATCTCCGTAACACTGAAATCTCAAGGGTCCTGTTGAGATGCCAGTCTGATTCATCTACCGCTCTTAGCTTCTTCAACTGGGTCAAGACTGATTTAGGTGTCAAACCTAACACTCAAAACTACTGTCTTGTTATTCATATATTGACTTGGTCAAAAAACTTTTCACAAGCAATGAAAATTTTGTCTGAATTGGTTAATTTGAAGAGAGATGGACCGGTCAGCGTAGATGTGTTTGAGAGTTTGCTTTCAGCTAGTGGTGTATGCAATTGGGACCCTGTTGTGTTTGATATGCTAATTAAGGCTTTTCTCAAGGTGAATATGGTGAAAGATGGTTTTAGAGCTTTTAGAAAGACGGTGAAGCATGGTATGTACCCGACTGTTATTACCATAAACTGTCTTTTAAATGGTCTTTCAAAGTTAAATTATAGTAAAAAATGTTGGGAAGTATATGCTGAAATGGAAAGAATAGGAGTGCACCCAAATTCGTGTACCTTCAATATATTAACTCTTGTCTTGTGCAAGGATGAAGATGCGAACAAGGTCAATGATTTCTTGGAGAAAATGGAAGAAGAAGGGTTTCAACCTGATATAGTTACATATAATACATTAGTTAGTAGCTATTGTAGGAAAGAAAGATTGAAAGATGCAGTCTACTTGTATCAAATTATGTACATTAGAGGCGTATTACCAGATTTGTTCACATACACTAGTTTGATAAATGGCTTTTGTAGGAAAGGAAATGTGAGAGATGCTCATCAGTTGTTCCTGAGAATGGCTGACAGAGGGTTAAAACCAGATCTTATTTTGTATAACACTCTTATTTGTGGTTATTGCAAAGAGGGGATGATGCAAGAAGCACGGTTTCTTTTGCATGACATGATTGGAGAAGGGATGTACCCTGATAAGTTCACTTGTTCGGTTCTTGTACAAGGATATCAAAATCAGGATAACCTAGTTTCCGCTGTGAATTTAGTCACAGAGCTTCAAAGGTTTAGATTTGTAGTATCTCATGATATATACAACTATCTAATTGCTGCTCTTTGTATGGAGACTCGACCATTTGCAGCCAAGGCTCTATTGGATCGAGTATCTGGCAATGGATATGAGCCTAACAATATGGTCTATAGGGAGTTGATTGAATCTTTCTGCAGATGGAATTTCCCTGATGAGGCCTTGTGTTTGAAAGCTGAGATGGTGTTAAAAGATTTGAAGCCCGATATATGTACATATAGAGCTATAATTAAGAGTTTGTGTAAATTAAGCCGAAGCATGGAGGCTAATTCCTTGATGAGAGAAATGACTGATTTTGATGTGCCGCCTGATATTGAAGTTTGTCGAGCTTTAGTAAATGGGCATTGCAGAGAAAACAATTTCTGTGAGGCGCAATCGCTGTTAAGCTTCTTTGCTCAAGAATTTGGAATATTTGACACAGTTTGTTACAACGCAATTATCAGGCTTCTAATCGCTGAATGTGATATTGCCAAATTGTTGAAATTTCAAGATAAAATGAGGAAAGTGGGTTTTGTGCCAAATCAGCTGACATGCAAGTACGTAATTGATGGATTACAGAAAGCTGTGAGAGTCCACAAAATCAACACCCCAGTGCAGTAATGAGGTAGACATTTTACATTGGATGCTCCCTTTCTGGTGAGTCATTCTTAAATCTTGTTTTCTGTTTGTTTGTTGTTGCACTATGTAATGTGGTATGAAAGTTGAATGGTCAAATGAATTACTCGCTTATTTATATGGAAAAGTAACCTGAGGCTACAACGTTGGACTCTCTAACTTATGCCTTCTTCTAGTCATATAATTCTTGTCATTGTCAAACCCAAGAGAGTGAATTAAGATCAGGGTCCATTATCAAGGGGGTCTATCTCTCCCAAATTATTGATTATTGCTGATGAAGCTATAACTTGATCCCTTTTCCTTTTTCCTTCTTTCTCTGACTAGGCCTCTCTTTTTTTCTTTTTTTTTGGGGTCTCTGATTGGCCTCGTTTGTGGAAACATACACATTTTCTCTAGGGAGCTAGGAAGCTTTGAGGACTAGAAAGATAGTTTGGGATGCAATGGGTGATGTTAGATGCAGTGAAGGAGGCACTCTCTAGCTGGAAATTTGGAAGAAGGATGAGAAGTTGAAGAGCCTAGGATGTTGCCTCACTAGTACTTGTTTGGGTCCTGTAGAAGGGAAGAAATAGGAGAGCTTTTGATGGGATTGGGAACGACTATGTACATTTGATGAATAGCTTCTCTTTTCTAGTTTCTTTTTGGTGCACCCATGAAAATTCCAGTGTATAGAAAAGATCGGGCATTGTTTGTAGAGAATATATTATGTTGTAAATTCTCTGCCTTTTGGTATACTGCTTCTATACAACAATTTTCCTCACTATTAATAAAACTTCTTTTACCTTATAAATGGAAAAAATCTAATAATCAGTATCTTCTTCTGAGTGAACCAGAGACTGGTTTTCTTTTTAAATGGAAAAAATCTAAGAATCAGTATCTTCTTCTGAGTGAACCAGAGACCGTGATTTTCTTTGGGGATCCCTTTGCTTGATGTTTTGAGTCTACAGAAGACCATTGGCTTTCCATATTGTGACAATTTCTCCCTTCTTTCTAACAATACTATTTTTCAGAAGTTTCTTTGTTATCACATGTTAAATACTCTTGAATATCCAAGAAAGCAGGAAGAAACAGAAAAAACTACTTTTATTGTTTCTTACTTGTTTGAGAGTTGTTGGATCTCTGAAAATGGTGGTTATGTACAGAAGTTACATCTTATATTACAAGAATTAAAACTAGTGGTTATGTTCATATTATTTCCAGTGTTACATTAGCTCTTTCTATTTCTGTAACTCTATACATGTCTTATGCACATTAATCTTTCTATTTCTGTAACTCTTTACATGTCTTATGCACATTAATTGTTAGTATGATTTCCAAATGTTAATTTTTGATATATTTTCAATAGATACAGCACCTATCAGAGAGGACCAAAGGGTGTTTTCATTTTGCGGCATAACTTTACTTAATTCAAGGCAGGTAAACATTTGACGGGCCTAGGCTGAGTTTCTAATACATTGTATCATTGGTTTGTGTGCTAGAGTTGTAGTCTTGTAGATGACCAAAAGTCTCTCAAAAATGGGAAAGAGAGGTAATACTGAACATTAAAGTTGGATATTAAGTGCAGAACTTTTTTCCTGATATTGCTTTATATTCAGCATGCTTCAATTGGCCTCACTTTTGCCTTTCGTCTTTGTAGGATTTTAATATTGGATTATAAATGGGATATACGAGGTACAATATAATGTATGTTTAATTTAACAGTGGATAAATTTATTTTGTGTAGCTATTCCCTTGTATGCATTAGCGAGAATTGCGTGTGGCATTTTTGGTCTTCAAGCCTGAATGAATCGAGAATGTTCAAATTCTACGTTGTCCACACATGCTTGTTGAAGAATAAGATCTATACACAGCGTCAAGCAACAACCAATGTAGTTGGGAGTGTTTTCATGGACAAATGTTCAGACCCAAAGACGATACATGCCAAAGGACATAATAATAGACATGAAGAAGGATTAAGGTGTAACGTTAACCTACATGTGAACTTGGAGAGTAACGGAGAGGGCAATTCAATTGTTTTAAGTGGATTCAGTGAGTCCTACGGCAAGCTTCTTAGCTAGTTACCTGTTTTAGAGAAAGTCTTAATCGTTCAGTTGTGAGCTTGCACAAATCAGAGGATAGATACTTTATGTATGCATTTTTAGCTCTCTACCCATCAATAATGGGATGGGAGTCTTGTAGGCCTATCGTGGTAGTTGATGGTAGCTTCCTTAAAGCCATCTACAAGGGGACCTAACTTGTAGCTAGCACAATGAATACAACAGGTGAGTTTATAAAAAAGGCATATATAACTGTGTATTTTTATTGTATAACTATATATGTTATTTATAGGTCTATGTCACTTGTATATCTGTTGGTTAATTGTATGGTAGTACAACTAGTACAATGTATGCAGCAGGTGATGTTTCTCAACATTTAAACACAACATGTACACCTGTATATTACTTATATTTCTGTGTAAATTGGATTTTTGTGTATGTAATTGTAGATTTGTATGTTAGTTGTATGGTAGTAAATTTTATACTTATATGACTTGTTTATTTGCACAGGCAGCATAGTGCCGCTCGCATACATTGTTGATCCGGAGAATGGCGTCTCATGGAGGTGGTTCTTTGAGATATTCAGAAAGGCTTTTGGTGAAAGCGCAAATACGTGCGATAGGCTGCGAGTATTATGAAGGTGACGTCAATGGTGTATGATGCGGGTGCCTCACTGTGTATGTATGTGTCATCTATGGTAACAACATTAGGCCTAAATACTAGCGGAGTCATCACAAGATAAGGGGTTTAGACTTTGTCATGGCTAGAGCATACAGTTTAGAAGAGTTTAATCAACACATGGTAAAGGGTGAATAGATAGATAAAAGGGTGAACGACAACTTGTTCAACCTTGGGTACTCTAGGTAGATCTCGGGCACGTTCAAAGGTGAATAAAACTTGGACAATGACTTCAAATATTGTAGAGCTAGTGTACGCAACGAATAAGGATGCCAAATAGCTGCCAGCATTGCCGCTACTAGAGTTCATGAGGCAACTTGTTGAACACTGGAATAATACTAACAGGATGAATGCAAAGGGGACATTCACATTTCTTTGAAAAGAAATAAAACAACATGCCGAATTATAACATACTTTTATCACAGCGGATGATGGTAAGATTGTATTCTACCATAAGTAGTTTGATAAACAGAAATAAGGAAGAACTGGATGTTCAGTTTGGATGTACGTTTAGTGTATATCTTTTGTATCTTTATATATTTTCAGTTTATTTTTTCGAATGTCCAAGTATGCTTGCTGTAATATTTTAGTATCTCTTATTGATCTTTAATGTTGCTATATCAACTTGATATATGTAACTGTATTTGTTTTTATATATAACTAATTAGAACTTGAGAGTTACAACAGAATACCTACATACGGTCAAGACGGTAGTAAACGCTTCATGGTATGCCTACACGACAACAAGATGTCAGGTGTATAACATGTGTATGGTATATGTATTTTCTTTTGTATGCTAGTTATATAGAACGATATGATGTGTGCATATTTTTTGTATTTAGATGTATGTGTATTGTGTTGCAAGAGCAGCCCGATGCACAAAGTATTCCGCATTCATGCAGGGTCCAGGAAGTGTTGCACCCCTGTGATGTAGGTAGCCTACTCTGATGCAAGCATAAGTGGCTGATTCCACAACTCGAACTCGTAACCTATAAGTCATATAGAGACAACTTGATTGTTGCTCCAAGGCTCTCCTTCAGTGATAATTATGGTACACTGCAAATAAATAAATAAAAATGGCAACCAATAGTGATACATAAATTATAGTATGAAGTAAAGGTAAAAACAATGACAATAATAACATTAGTGTATTTCAAGAGTGGGTCTGAGGAGGTTAATATATGCGCATACCTTACCCCTATCTTGTGAAGGTTGAGAAATTGCTTCCAACAGAACTTCGACTCAAGGAAAGAAAAATTCCGACAATAGTGAAAAGAAAATATAGTAGTGAAGAAGCCATGAAAAGAGAAACAATACCAGCAAGATAAAATCTAAGACAAGAAATACAAGACTACTAAAGAGTATCCTTGTGTGTGCTATGCGCGGGGTACGGGGAAAGGCCAGACCAAAAGTGTATTATACGCAGTCTTACCCTACATTTCTGCAAGAGGTTGTTTCCACAGCTCGAACTCGTGATATGCTGGTCATATGACAACAACTTTACCAATTACGCTAAGGCTCCCCTTCAAATACAAGACTACTACTTCTACTAAAGAACTGAAAAGAAGAACGCTCGACTACCTCCTAACCTATAACCCTAATTCTCGACCTCTATGCCCCTATCCAAGGTCATGTCCTCGGTAAGCTGAAGGTGAGTCATGTCATGTCTATTTACCTCACCCTAATACTTCTTCGGCCTACCACTACCTCTCCCTAGGCCACCTATCGACAACTTCTCACACCTCCTTACTGGGGAATTTGTTCATCTCTCTTTATTATTATCAAAATATTGATTTTTTTTTTGAGATTTTATTATTAACAAAAATTGAAAATAATCATTTAGTAATATATTCGATTACTTTTAAGGAAAAAACGTACGACCACTAAATGAAATTCAGTTATTAAACACCCTCGCAGTGGCGTAGCCATTCTATCCCAAGAAAGCTCGCATTTGCGGTCTTAGATCCGCTTTTGCGGCGTCGCGCTGCTTCCTAAATGTAGCAGGTACGAAAGCACCAGACTTCTGTAGTCTTCAGCAATTCTTCTAAGCCACCAATTGGTCTGAACTCAACCCAAAATACACCTCAGGACCCTGTCCGAACATATCTTCAAATCCAAAACATAACACAAACCTGTTCAAGGCCTTAAATCATACCAAACAATACCAAAACTATGAATATCACCCCAATTAAAGCCTAATAAATTAATGAAAATTTCCAAATTCAAAAGTTACGCAGAACAAGCCTAACCAACTCCGAATAACCTTAAATTTTGCGTGCAAGCCCCAATGACATAACGTATACCAACTTCCTGAGTCACAATCTGAGCCAAGTATCAATAAGTCAACCTTCAGCCAAACTTATCAATCTTCAAACCTTCAACTTTTCAACTTTCGCCAAAAGTTACCAAATCAACCTACGGACCTCCGAATCAACATCCGAACATATGCTTAAGTCCAAAATCACCATACGAAGCTATTGAGACCAACAAAACTCCATTCTGGAGTCGTCTACATACAAGTCAAACTTCGGTCAACTCATTCAACTTAAGTTTCCAACCTTGGGATTAAGTGTCCCAAATCACTCTAAAACTTTTTCAAAACCAATCTAACCACCCCGGCAAGTCACATAACCATAATTGAACATAGAAGAGTAAATAAATAGGGTAATGGGGCTACAATATACAAAACAATTGGTTGGGTCATTACATTTTCCCCCTCTTAAAACAAACGTGCATCCTAGAATGAATATAGAGACATACTTGAAGTGCTGAAAATGTGAGGATATCGACTATGCATGTCATACTCGGTCTTCCATGTCGTCTCGTCAACCGGTTGGCCTCTTCATTAAACCTTCACTGAAGCAATGTTCTTTGACCTCAACTTCCAGACCTGCCTGTCTAATATAGCCACCAACTCCTCAACATAAGTGAGATCCTTGTCCAATTGGACTGAGCTTAAATCTAATACATGAGACGGATCACCATATTACTTCTGGAGCATGGAAATATGGAACATCGGGTGAACTACCGATAAGCTGGGTGCAATGCAAGTCTATAGTCCACCTCACCAACTCTCTCAAGGATCTCAAAAGGACAAATATACCTAGGACTCAACTTTCCCTTCTTCCTGAATCTCATCATGCCCTTCATGGGCGAAACACTGAGCAAAACCCTCTCTCCCACCATAAATGATACATCACGAGCCCTCCAATAAGCATAACTTTTCTAACTAGATTGTAATGTACGAAGTCGATCCTGAATCAACTTGACTTTTTCCAAGGCATCCCGAACCAAATTACTGCCCAACAACCTAGCCTCCTCTGGCTCAAACCAACCAACTGGAAAACGACACTGCCTCCTATATAATGCCTCATAAGGAGACATCTGAATACTCGATTGATGGTTGTTATTGTAGGCAAACTCTGAAAGGGGTAAGAAATGATCCCATGAACCCCCGAAATTCATAACACATGCAAGTATCATATCCTCCAAGATCAAAATGGTGTGCTCGGACTGCCCATTTGTCTGAGGTGAAATTCCATGCTCATCTCGGCATGTATGCTTAACTCAAGCTGCATAGCTCTCCAGAAATACAATGTGAATTGTGTGCCCCGATAAGAGATAATAGACACCAGCACACCATGAAGTCGGAAAATCTCACGAATATATATATCTGCGCCAACTGCTCTAAAGAGTATGTAGTCAACTCCAGAATGAAGTATGCAGACTTGGTCAGTCTATCCGCTAAACCACACTGTGTCAAATTTATTCAAGGTCCATGGGAGTCTAACAACGATATCTATAGTGATATATTCTCACTTCCACTCTAGAATCTCAAGTCTCTGAAGTAGATCGACTGGCCTCTGATGCTCGTACTTCACCTGCTGACAGTTCAAATACCAAGCCACATACTCCACTATACCTTTCTTCATTCTCCTTCACCAGTAGTGTTTCCTCAAATCCTGATACATTTTAGCGGTGCCTGGATAAATGGAATACCACAAATTGTGGTCCTCCTCAAGAATCAACTCACGCAAACCATCCACATTGGGCACAAAAATATGACCCTGCATATGTAACACCCCATCATCTCCAATAAAAACCTCTTTGGCATTACGATGCTACATTATGTTTGTAAGGACAAGCAGATGGGGGTAATCATACTGACATGCCTTGATGCGCTCATACAAAGAAGGTCGAGAAGCCATGCAAGCAAGAACCCGGCTAGGCTCCGAAACATCCAGCCTCACAAACAGATTGGCCAAAGACCGAACATCTAATGCTAACAGTCTCTCCCCAACTGGAATATATGTAAGGCAACACATAGTCTCCACCTTCCTACTCAAGGCATCGGCTACCATATTAGCTTTCGGGGATGACATAGAATGGTGATATCATAATCTTTCAACAGCTCTAACCACCTCCGCTATCTCAAGTTCAATTATTTTTGCTTAAACAAGTATTATAGACTCTGATAATCAATGAATACCTCACAAGACATGCCATATAAATAGTTCCTCCAAATCTTCAATTCCGTGAATCATGGCTGTAAGCACGTGATTTTTGCCCTATATGAGAATTACTCCCAAAAAATTCAAAAAATAAAATAATTTTTCTTGGTGTGCAATTTTTGTGATATTTTGTGTAACTATTTGTATGTTTGTCTATGCATGTTTATTTGTTAAATTAATAAAAAAATACAAAAATAGGCATCTTTTGCATTTTTAGCATTTAATGTCCAAATGAACAATTTTATGCTTAATTATTACTTAATTGTGCGTTAATTGTTATTGGAAGTTAATTTGCGCTTTTATAACTTAATTTAGTTCTTAATAATAATTTAAGTACTTTTATAATTTAGTTTTAGAAAAATAAAAGAAGAAAAGAGAACAAAAATACAAAGAAAAATCGGATTGGGCCACTTCTTCAATTTCAAA